ATCCACTCACCTCAGCCTCCCAAAGGCGCGGGATTACAGGCTGAGCCACTGCGCCCGGCTCTCCTCTAGTTTTGATGTGAATTTCTTCCATTGTTATCTCAACAGCACCCTTCCTAAGATTCCATTTCCTCCCTTGGAAGCAGACAGGCTTTGGAACTTCTAGGGGTCTGTTAGGCAGGACCCACTCCCGGCCTGCCATACTTGGCTACTGAGTGTGTCTGGGGCGTGATGAGATGCGGACAACTGGGTGTTGCCCTGTGTCAAGTACTGCAATGCATCACCCTGAGATAGTTAGCATCTCTGACCCCTCGTTGCCCTAGGATGGTCCCCCCATCTCCCTGCCGAGGCTCTGCTGGGTTGGTTCTTTGCTGACATTATTACTAATCTACTCTATATCCTGCTCTGCTTCTAGGACCGCAGGAGGCCTGGAAATGTCTGGAGAGCTCTTAATACACAGCAGGTTGCTGCAGTGAAGGAGCCTAATGTCTTGGTGTTCATTCATCATGTCTCTGAACTGCCAGATGATCCAAAATGGAACTCACCTCCTGGTGTCCTGAGGGCTTGTCTGCAGGGTGAGAAACATACTGCCAATGGATTCCCTACTGGTCTTACCCCCAGAAATCCGTCAGAATAGATCCAACCCAAACTAACTCAGAGCACTTTTACCAGTGTCCTTAATGGGTCACTTTAGCACCATAACAAACCTCACTCAGGGGAGTGACTGGGGGCAGAGCTAAGCACCCTTCCTCAAGTACCCAAGGGTGAGTAATGCTCCCACCTGGAATGAGACACATAATCTACCTTTGTCAAAAATTTTGAGGGTACTGTCTTCTAGAGGGGGGGGGCACCTTACACCTGTTGAGCACCTGCAACAATCTTTGACCCACTGTGCTAATAAGGCATCTCTCATGATTGTCAGTATTTCATAACCATCAAATCCAAAGGTGTCTGCTTAGAGTAGCTTTAGGATCATAGTGAAAGTCTTAGGGCAAAGTTACCTAGCAATGCCAAGAATGCAAGTGTGTGAATAGTCTCAAATATATTCTTAAAATGTTGATAATATCTCATAATCTTAAAGTATTTAATATATCTATAAAATCATGCCTACCATAGCAAGCACATAATTTGTGTCGTTAATTTACCCACTAATGTTAGAGTTCAACCTTTACCCCCCTAGTACAAATCTAAACTGTACCTTCTCCTAAATATTTGTTCATTCTCACTATGGGAAAATCTTTTAATATGTATTAAGCTTATAAAGGCTTCATATAAACAGAAAGGAGTAACCTTGTCTTCAAGCAGGAAAGTTTGACTTATAATTTAATAATTAGTTATTTCAAAGGCAAAATGGCTTGAACATCCAGACTGCTACATACTGGTTTGCCTGCCTGTACTCCAGCTCCATGGGTCCCAGGTTTGAGCAGACACAATCATTTTTTTCCCCACACGTGAGACTGCACTGGTATACCTTGAGGGTGACTTGAAGAACGTGCACAGATATTTCTGACTATAGGCAATCTTGACTTTAAGTGCTGGTTGTAGAATTTTAGACATGACTTGATTGCTCTCATGCCAAGTCAAGAGCAAGTAAGAGGAGAGTATGTCTGATACCAGACAAGGATTCTAGTAAGAACCTGACCAAAGATGGAGAGTGTGAGATGCCACTCCCTTTTCCTTCTTGGAAAGGGGAGAGCAGCTCATTTTGAACCAATCAGCTTTGCACCTCTCTGCTGAGGTGGACACTTGCCCACAGTTCTACTGCTTGTCTTTTGTTTTTTTTTTTTTGGAGTTGGAGTCTCACTCTGTCGCCCAGACTGGAGTGCAGTGGCCGCTTCCGGTCACCGCAGCCTCGACCTGCTGGGCTCCAGCGATCCTTCCACCTCAGCCTTCCAAGTAGCCGGAATTATAGGCATGCGCTACCATGCCCAGCTGATTTTTTTGATTTATTGTAGAGATGAGGTCTTGCTGCCCAGGCGGGTCTCGAACCCGCAGGCTCAGGCAATCCACTCACCTCAGCCTCCCAAAGGCACGGGATTACAGGCTGAGCTACCGAGCCTGGCTCTGCTTGTCTTTTAAGGACCCAGTAAAGCCTCATTTCTAGCTCTCTTCTTCACACACAGGTAGGCAAAGTCTTCTTTCCCCCAGGACCTTCCTTTGTCTTCTCTGCAGTCCTCTTTATTCTTGTCACTTAGGGTTTCCTGACTAGCTGCTTTATGGTATAATCTAGCTCACTCTTGGAATAGAGGATACTGAGTAGCTGGGGTAAATCCAAAGGGAATTTTAAAAGTATGTGGCTCCTGGGTAGAAAGTCAGGGCTCTGCTTGCTATTACTGGCATGATGCCCACCGCACAGTGCATCTTCTGAAGACATCAGGGGCAGGAGAAAGTTCTATAGTCTAGTGAAGAGAGATAAAGGAGCTGGAATTAAGCCCCAGTGCCAACCTCAGCCCACGCTCCTCTCCTTGGGCAGCTGGCAACCCCATCCAGCCTCTCCTACCTGTCACTCTCCAGCAGGTCCTCAGGAAAGCTTCCTGTCGAGAGTCGCTGCGTTCCAGGTTCAGGGGCATCATACTGCTGGTTGTTCTCGAAGTGCTGGATGATGTTCCTCACATTGCCTGGTTTGACTAGAAACAATAAGAAAACGAAGGATGCTATGCCTTCTTCAGGGATGCCCTCTCAAATCCTACTCCCCTCTACCTTAGAAGACAGAGCAATGAGCAAGCACGGATGAGAACAGCAGGAGCCAAGATCAGAAGATGCGGCTTTAGCCTAGCTCTCCTATGAATACACCGTGTGGCTCTGGGCAGTCCACTCTACCTTTCTAGGTCTGCTCTTTCCTTATGTGAGAGAGTTTTGGAAGTACATTTTCTATGTAACTTTCTTTTGGCTGTCACATTCTTTATTACAGTACTACTTCTGCCTGAAAACTATGACTAGGTTTTTCCTAAGAGCCACATACAGGTTTAATAAAATAGCCAGGAAGACCAAAAACACATCTACATGTAATTTGGCCATGTTGCCAAATTATATCAGGCATTTCTCAAATTTATATTAATTTGAGAGTTCATTATTTTCTATTTTTCTCTGACTCTCTTTCCTGTTCTTTCTATCCTCCTCTGGCCTCCTTGATCCCAGAATTAGACCCATTAGTACCATGAAAGGTGACCTAGGGGGAATAGAAGAGAGACATCACTCCCTGGCATTCAAATTCCCATTTTCAAAACTAAGACAAAAGAAAGCTGTTCAAATAAACAGTAAAAAGGCACAGGAGATGCCACTTAGAGACCCAGTTCTATGACTCTCAGCAGGAGGGAAGAGAGAAGAGGAGCTCAGTCCCAAGTCCAGCAATGTTAGAGCAGGGATGAGCGAGAAATTCTGCTCTGCTGAGACCAATGAGAAGGAGAATTGGAACTGGGGAGGCAGCATAAACACCCCCAGGGTCTGGGTCCTGGTCCTAACCATACTAACCATACTCTGTCCATGACTTCAGAGATTCTGATATTTATATATACAAAGTTATAAAACTCTCTTTCTCAAAATCTTTCATAAGGTAAATTCTAAGCCAGAGAAATTCAGCTGCTCTCTTCAAAGTCTATAACTCCACATCCTTAAGGCAGGTGGCCAGGGTAATATTCTTCCAAAACTGCTTAAAAGGGTGGCTCACACCTGTAATCCCAGCACTTTGGGAGGCCAAGGTGGGAGGATTGCTTGAGTCCAGGAGCTTGAGATCAGCCTAGACAACATAGCGAGACCTCGTCTCTACAAAAAACAAATATATTAGCCAGGCGTGGTGACACGCCTGTAGTCCCAGCTACTCAGGAGGTTGAGGCAGAAAGATTGCTTGAGCCCAGAAGGTAGAGGCTGTGCTGAGTCGTGATTGTGCCAAAGCACTCTAGCCTGGGTGACAGAGAGATATCCTGACTCAAAAAATAAAAATAAAACTGTTTAAGTGCTATGTATGTTTTAGGGGTAGGGCCACTACCATCACTCTCGTTTTGGAGATATGGAGAGCTGCCTGTCACAGCCTGAATATGCATCTGGGTCTTGGGGCCGTGTAGATGCCAGGGTCAGCTGTGCAGTCACAGACCTGAGCTGCCCTTGCTGGTAACAATGTGGGAGCCTGGGAACAACCTATAACTGAAAGCCATGGGGCCGAGTCCACTCTTCCCTCTCCCAGGGGCCACTTGGAAAATGCCCAATTGTCTTCTGAATATAGTTGCACCTTAGCTGGAGCAAGAAACAGGGATAGACCTGAGATCTGGTAAAACCAAATGACCCAGAGTACCAGGAAAAAAATAGGTAAAAGGAAACACATTTTTAAAAATAGCAAAGTTTCATTAGTAGTCTTGGTGCTTCTTCCTTCAGTCTCTGAATGATAATGGAACTAAAAAGAGAATTATATGTTACTAATGATCAGATCCTTCACTAGCAAAAGGGGGTAATAACTGATGATCCTAAATGGCAAAATCTCTCCATACTGAGGCTTTCAAGCTTTGGTGGTTATCTTGTCTTTAGATGTGGATACAGATTTGTCTGATGTCCTGGAGACCTTAGAACTCCAAACCAAATCATAAATCACAGTGAAAAGATATGACTCAAAGAGCTAGTGGATACTACCAATATCCTTACCCTGCCCCTAGGATCAGTAACTGTTACTCCACCATGTGCCCTGAAACTGACACAAAGCAAGCAGTTCAGGCAGTGCTGCTCAATCTCTCAAAGCCTGTGGGTGCCTCCCACCTTCTTTGGCACTGCAGATAAGAAGTATGTGTTAAGAACTAAGGGTTGGGCCAGGCACGGTGGCTTGCACCTATAATTCCAGCACTTTGGGAGGTAGAGGTGAAAGGATTGCTTGAGCCCAGGACTTTGAGACCAGCTTGGGCAACATAGTGAGACCTCATCTGTACAAAGAATTAAAAAATCAGGTGGGCCTGGTGACATGTGTCTGTAGTCTTAGCTACTTGGAGGCTGAGACAGGGGAACCAACTGAGGTCAGGAGGTCAAGGCTGCAGCGAGCTAGGATTGTGCCACTGTACTCCAATCTGGATGACAGTGAGGCCCTGTCTTCGGGGGGGGAAAAAAGAACTAAGAGCTAGATTCCAAGACCGATTTCTCCCCACTCCCATTGTTTATAAACTTTTTCACTAATTCTTTATTTTTATTGCTTAAAAGGGCATAAAGTCATTGCCTTCTCCCCAGGTAGAGTTCTTTCTGGTAGTTCTGGCAGAGGCCAGTCTTCCAGTTCCTAATCTCCATAGATGAGGTTCCAAAAATCCAGGGTTCTGTGTAAATGAAGGAAGCCCTCAAATTCCAAGTGTCTTACAGTAAAGTGGAAGCAGGAGTGCCTCTGACTTTTGGGTGTTTTTTTTAAAATCGTGTCTTCTACTTTGCTTAGCACCTCTGTCTCTTTTGACTCTTAACTGTACAAAAAAATAACTCTAAATATATTGTAGAGGACCTAATGTCTTCTAGAACCTATGTGTTTAAAAAATAAACATGATACACATTAACCTATTAGTTAAGGCTTGCACCTAGTATGAGGTTGGGAGCCCCCTCCCCGCCCTCAATAGGGGTTTATGTCAGAGCGGCTTTAGCAATAAGGAGGAATGTGTAAGAGAAATGCAGAGAGGATGGAAAGGAGCAAAGAGGAACAGAATAGGAGAAGATGAAGAAGGAGAAGAGAAGACAAGATTTGGGAAATGGAAATGCAAAGACAAACCCAAAGAAAATGGTCCTTTTACCTTCCACAGGGGACAAGGGAATATGAAATGCTAAAAGAAAAACAAACAAAAACAAAAGTAAACCATGAAAAGTCAAATTAATGTTTCAAAAGTCCAAATAAAAATTACATCAAGCTGGAAAATGAAAACGCAGTGGCAAAAATCAAGGCCGATCCTGGAGTCCCTTCCTCCCCCCTCCCAGTGTAGCACGTTCAGAAAAGGCAGCTGGCCCATGCACTGCCATTCACAGGTTCCCACTAATACTGGGGACTTAAGTAACTGACAGGGAGGGGTCAGCGACAATTTCCAGACAAATGTCACATGGCTGGGAAGACAGCAATTGAGTTTTGGGTTGCTGATGGTATCTGGGAAATCTCTGGGTCCCAAACTTGCCCCCCACTGTCTAGCTCTACTTAATAGTGACTCAAACCCCTTTTCTCAAAGGCCTATAATTGCTCCCAACACACAAGACCATAGGAGTGCAGGTGAATCCCATGGATGAAGGTGGCGGGGGCATTTGCCATCCACAGGGCAATGTCTGCCAAGGGGAAACATCACTCCACCTGGCTGTTCAGTAGCTACAACTGGCTCTGAGTTCCTGGACTAAGATCCAGGGACTGGCATAGCTTCTCAGCTCTGAAACATTCTTGCCAGAGGAGAAAGTGGCCATACTGAGAGGTAGCTGCAATCTTAGAGTTGGGCCTGTGGCTCCCTGAAACATGGAAGGCCCTCCTGCAAACACACTGGCATGTGAAGGGACTGAGGTCCCTGCCTAAGGAACACTCCCCAAATACTCACTGCTCTGAGAAGAGCTTTTGGGCTTTCCAATGTATTTGAGGATGGGGTTTCGCTTCTTGTCCTCCAAGGCATCCTTTTCTTTCTTGGAATTGCTGCTCTGCTGAGACAGGAGACACTGGGGTTGGAGGAGGTCCTAAGATGCAGATATGGTTGACAATCAACCCAGCCACTGCCCCCAAGACAGGCCATCAGCAAATAACTGGACAGTTGGCTCATGCTTGTGCCCTAATGAGGACGTTCACCTCAGGCAGGCTTGGAGAAGAGAGCTGCTCTAGTGTGGGGAGTCTCACTACTTCACATCCAAAGGGGGAGGGATGGAGCTAGACAGCACATAACGGCTTTCCTTATCTACCCCAGCACAGAGAACTACACCAGAAGGCATTTTCTTTTCGAGTTGGAGTATCACTCTGTTGCCCAAGCTGGAGAGCAGTGGCATGCTCACAGCCACCGCAGCCTCGACCTGCTGGGTTCAGGTGATCCTTCCGCCTCAGCCATCCAAGTAGTTGGAACCACAGGTGTGTGCCACCACACCTGGCTAATTTTTTTGATTTATTGCAGAGATGAGGTCTCGCCAAATTGTCCAAGCTGGTCTTGAACCCGTGGGCTCAGGCAATCTTCTCGCCTCTGCCTCCCAAAGTGCTGGGATTATAGGCGTGAGCCACGGTGCCCAGCCAGGAGAAGGCATTTTCTAGGGTAGTTCTGTCACCTTCTTGGTCTTAGGGAAGAAGGGCAGCCACTTGTCCTTGTCTGGAGCAGATTGGGCCTTTTCAGCTGTGTTGGAAGGTCGTATCTCTCTGAGACGAATCCCAGCGTGGTTCATGTAGGTATTGAGAGCAAAGTCCATGGGAGCACTGGCAACAAGGAAAAGTGTCACAAATCAGAAAGCTCAAGTTATCTACCCTGCCAGCAGGTGGGAGGGCCAAAACCTTGCTCCAAACACTCTCCTCTCTACCACCCAGTGGAGTGGGGAAGGGGCAGTTATGGGTCAAAGTGTGCAGAGGGAAGTATGGAATAATCAGATGGGGCAGCAGGCAGAAACTGACTCAAAGTCTTGACTGGCACAACCCCCAAGAGAAATCTTATTCTTTCTCTAAGCAGAATGCTACCCATGAGCGGATGACGGTCTGGGGAAGGATAGGCCAATTCCCTAAGATGTGTGCAAATAATTCCCCAGTTGGTCAAGCCATGGGCAGACCTGGAGGATGGACTGAGGTCTGCAGTGAATATCCCCAGACATATGTGTGGGGGTGGGGAACCAGGAGAAGGAAGAAATGTCACCCAGACTCTGCCAAGGTATACTATACTGCCTTCACCACTCTCTACCTCCAAGTTCAAAGAGAAAAAGAGGTAGAAAGAGTTGTCGAGTTGCTTTCAACTGCCACAAATGAAACTGTCCAGAGCTCTGTGTTTACAAATGCATTTGGCCCACAGTTCAGCAGATGGATTACCCACTTTGTGGATTCAATACTGCAAAGCTTCAGCCCTGGCTTTATTCTCCTCTTAAACAGACTTCTAACCCCACCTCCTTCTTAAGTGTGTGTGCTCAGGGCAGACTCATTTTAACCTTGGCTGATGAGAAACAATGAGATAAGCATACAGGCTGAAAAAAAAAATCCTGTTAATTGCCAAGAGAGGAAGTATGCTGCACCCCAGCTCCCCTCTGCAGATGCCACCAACGCAGGCCGACTCTATCACCGTCACTATTTGCAGTGGTGTAAGGGAAATAAGTGGGAAGGGTGGAGAAGGGGAGCCAGGTCAGGGAGCGTTAGGTGTGATGGCAGCTTGGTGTCTTCCCGCTGAGCAGAACCACGTCCCACACAGTGATCCCTGAGTGTCATGCCACTTGTGTGCTATGGGCACATAGACATCTAGGAACTAAACGGGCACAAACCACGGCCCTACAATGCTAGGGACTCCACTGTGATTGGCAGAAATGGAAAGCATAGTAGCTTAACCCCAATCCTTCTCACCTTGAAAGGGATATGCACACCACAGATTCACTCACCTCCTGTCTTCCTCATATTTGGACCTGGAACAAAAAAAGAACAGATGCATCAGGCTGCTCGTCATCTGGTCAGAGGCTAGGAAGAGGGTATATTCTAAGAGGAAGGGAGGATTGATGGGGAGATGAGGAGGAATGTGATAAAAGGTCTGACTTGGGCTTTTGGTCACAGCTCTGAAGCCAGCTAGGGCTCAGGAGGTGAGTGTTCTTATTCCTCAGAGGCAATCAATTAGCAAAGAGCAAGGATGATGATGATGTCTTTCTAGCTAAAAGGGGAATGGGCAAATTCAGTCTTTTGCTTGCAATGTGTTTTGGCAACTGATGTTATTATGGAGGAAGAGGCTCCTTTTTGTATCTACCTAGGACACAATTAGAAAGACTGACACTGAGACAGGAGAAAGAAGTGAGAAGGCTAAGATAATACCGTGAGACAGGATCCAAAGAACCTACTTATTTAAAAGAGGTAAATGGTAACAGCAGCTAATATTTAAATGTTTATTCTGGGCCAGGCATTATTCTAAGCTATTTATATGTATTAGCCCATCTAATTATCAAAATAACTCATAGGAAGATATTATATACCCACCACTTTATGAAACCAAAATTTCAGCGCTTTAAATAAAAACACTTACAAGTGGGGTGCCTAAGCTGTCAGTAATAATCTCATATAATTCTGGTGCCTATGATCTTAAAATAGGTTTAGCAGGATCCTGCTTCTATCTCTGGAGTGGCCGGGGTAATTAAGATCATTTGACCACTTGAAAAACCATGGCTCAGAGAGACTCAGGGCTAGGCTGAAGGCCAGAGGGTTAGGTCTCCAAAGCACATGCACACTCTGTGTGATCCTGTCTAGTCTCATCTGGAGCCCCAATCTCTTATCAAATACCAGATGCATATATGCAGCTGCCTACTATATCTAATTTCCAGTTTGATTTCTGAAAGTAATCTCAAAGTAACATGTCCAAAATGGAGCCTGTGATTTTCTACCACAAACTGCTCCCCATGCAATTAGCCCTACCTTTGTCCTAGTAGCGTAGGTAAAACAAAAACAAACAAACAAACAAAAAACCTTGGCGTCTTCCTTGACTTTTCCCTTTTTCATACCCCATGCTCAATTTTAGGAAATCCCCCTCTTGGCTTTACTGTCGAAATACAACTAGCACTGACCTCTTTCCATAACCCCCATTGCTACTGCTCTGGTCTATAAGCCCCACCATCTTTTACAAGGGTTCCCACAGCCTACTAGCTGAGCTTCCTGTTTGGAACGTTCCTCCTCTCACAGTCTAGTGTTACACAGCTCCCATGGCTCCCACCCACTGGGAGTGAAAGACCACAGTCCTTACAGGAGGCCACAGGTTCTGTATGGCTGTCCTTCCTGTTACTGCTCTGACTTTATCACTTACTTTTCCACTCTGCTCTTGCAACACTGGTCCCTCATTGTTCTTCAAATATGTCAAGCGCATTTCTACTTTGCCTTAACTGTTCCCTCTGCCTGGAATGCACTTCCCAGAGATGTCTTCAAGGATAACTCCCTGCTTTCTTCAATTGGTCCAATGTTACTTTTCCACATGCCTTGCCCTGACAGCCCTATTTAAAACTGCAACCCACTGGCTCGGATACTCCCGATCCTCCTCACCTAGGTCTATTTTCTCCTCGAGCACTTACAATTTCTAACCTACTATATAATTTAATTATTTATTATATACCGCATTCTCTTCCCATACAACGTAGCTCCACAAGGGAAGGAGCTTTGTTCACTGACGCATGCCCAGAGTGCTGGCTGCAGAACAGCACAGGCACACAGGAGGAGCTCCATAAGCATGTGCTGAGTGGAAATGTCAGTGTTAGCAGAGTCCATCACGATCACCTAGGCCAACTCCTGTATGAAATGGCTTAACTGTGGTCACATAACTCCTTAGTGAAAAGCAGTACTGAGGGAAACAACTGTTTCTAAGCCTGGAAATGTCCCCATAAAGTCTATGATATTGGGACTTGTATCATAGGTGCCTGTGATGTTTTAGAAAATGGGACTAGTATAAGAGAAGCGACTGTCTCCAGAGCTCCTCAGTAAGCTGAGCTAGGATGGCTTTCTGATGTGATTAGTACAAGACAGTCCCATTTCCCCTAAGCCAGTTCCAGCTGCCTCCTGAGGGAGCGTCATCCACTGGGCGCTCATTCTCAGTGTCAGAGGGGATCTTAGAGGCAGGAAAGGAGGAAGGTCAGGAAGAGGGCGAGAAGGGGAAGCAGAAAGCTCGCCATGTCCCGGGGGCCCGTGATCTGTCATCACCACCAAGTGACTGTCAGGAGCTCCAGGCTGTGCACAACTTCCTTCAACACCTACAGCCCTTGGCCTGAGAAAAGCAGTAGGAGGGCATGCCTCTCCCTGTCTTTCAGGGGACAGAGAGGCAGGCCATAAGTGCATGAGGAGGAGAGGGTGGAAAATACCCATGGAACATGTCCTCCTGTTTGGCATGGTCAGGAGGTGGGAGAGAACTGAAGACTCACAAGATGTCTCCAAGGGCAGCTAGCTGCTTCTCAGCCACGTGGCGCTCTCGGAGAGGGTCCCCATCCAGGTCCAGCAGGTCATTTTCACCATACAGGCTGCCTAGCCCTAGGGTGCGCTTTGATCTAAGCCGGAGAAGCACAGAGAAAGAAATGTACACACAGCGCTCAGTAGGCAGATATGCAGAAAGAGGCAAACAGACACACACACGACACATGCACACCACAGAGGGAATGAGAAAGGGTCAAGAGGCAGAGGTGCAAGAAAAGACAGGACAGCAGACCTGTAGTCGTGGATCTGCTCCTGGATCTCTGGCATGGCTGCCTCCTGAGCTTCACAGAGTACGCTGCGGGCGTCCTCACTGTTCCGCAGGCGCGAGTCTGTAGTGGGAGCCGAGTAGGCAGAATGAGTGGGGTGTGGTAGGGCAGGAGGTCACTTCTGGGCATCTTGAGGTACTTCAGCTCCCTGTGACCCTGGAGGAGAGGCTGGCTTTCTGCCCCCCATTAGCCTAAAGGAAGTGGAGGCCTGGCTCTCCCAGGTCATTCCTGAATTCAGGACTGGAATCCTGTGTCCAAGGCCCAAGGCAAGGACAAAAACATTTGCTGGATGTGCTATGCTTCATTAAAAGAAAGATGAAAGCCCCTCTCATCGAGAGTGTCCAAGTGCTGCACTCAGCCATCAAAGTGCAGACCTTTGAGAGGCCCACTCCCCTCCACCGCCCCAGAGTCAACTCAAGGCTAAAAAAGGCAAGTGCTTCACACGCCATGAAACCTGAACTCCCCAGCAGACGTGGAAAGATGCTTCTCCTCCTGTGCCTGCATCTAGCTCTACCCAGGTTAGGCCAAGGCCCTAACTGCGCAGGTTCTGTTTACCCTATCACTTGCCTGTGCCCACAAAGTCTCCTCTCCACCACACATGCCTGTAAATCGACTCTTTCCAAATGTAACTTCAAACTTCTATCCTCTAAAAAGCTGCCTGTGATTAGTGTCTCAGGCTGACATCACTCAAGGCTGCTTCCCCTGAATTCTTCCACTCAAGATTAGAGTGAGATGGGAGCCAGGCTGCCATCTATCTAGTCCACTGGGTCCTCACTCTATACCAGCCATATATTAGTTAAGGACTTCACAAAGGTCTTTATAAAGATCCATATTTAGTTCAGGATCTTATAAAAGCAAAACCTCAAAAAACACTTTGGAGGGTCCAACTCTGCAGGTGGGATGGAGTGATGCCCCAGTGTCTGTCTGTACTTTCTGAGTTCCCCAGGGGATTCTGATGACCAACTTGGCTTAGGAATCCCTGATCGAGTCCAATGTCTTCCTTGTACAGATGAGAAAACTGAGGCCCAGAGAGGTCATGTGAAAGGTTGGCAGAAACGAGCCCAGACCTCCTAACTCCAAGCCCAGTGTCCCCCTGTGACCAGTATCCACAGGCATTGGCCATAAGCTACGTGAGTTTCCTGGAGGAACCGCCACGAGGCTCTTTTCCCCTATTAGAGGCTGGTTGCCACTCTGACCTCTGGAGCCTCCTGAGAGCTCCGGACAAGAACAGCATCAACTAGAGACCAACTTAGCCAACTTACCAATTTCAGCCTGTAACATCTCAGGGATCTTCACTCTCAGAGGCTAAAAAACAGAAGTCAGGAGTGATGAGGTCCACATACTCAGGAGAAGGACAGAGTACAGGGAGAGTAGGGTGCGGCAACACCAGCTTCTTGCCTTCCTGGCCTATAACTACTCACCATCCTCTCACCTCTCTCCAACTGTACTCTGGAATTCTAGGGTATGGTTTTTGGGAAACAAAATCTGAGGCTACAGAGTGAGCTGGGACTGTACTCTGAGGGTGGCACACATGGCTTTTCTACTTTTATTTCAAGGATATCAGGGTATATGGAATGGGTACATTGTTCTAAAAAGTAGACTGGTGCCAATTTAGCAGCAAGGAAAAACTTTATTAGGCTATTCAGCAGACTTCCCCTCCCCTCGTTCCCAGGGAGAACTGGCCTTATGTCACCTAGTCTTACAGATACCACAGTGTCTGGCTTTTGTTTTACGAGTCCTTGACATCTGGATACTGGGATAGTTCCACAGCAACCAACAGAGAGCAACTGGCAGCTCTAACCCCCATAACTCAAGACCCACTTAAGTGGGTGAATATAAAACTCTAGGGAAAAATCAATTTTTCCCAATCTTATTAGTGCTAGCAGCAAATGCCAGAAGAATCAAGTCATCTTGGAATTAGTTTAGTGATCAGATTAGAAAGTCTGGGATGGAACTGCCCTCTGCAGGCACAAGAGCTCTTGCTGGCAGGATCCCTATACAGCCTCGGAACTATGCCCAGCTGCAGTGTGCTATCGATCCCAGAGACGATGGGGTCTCCCAATTCTGACTTCTGCCTTTGGACAGAAATGGCAAGTCAGACTAAGTTTCAGAAACAGGGTTATCTTGTCTCACTGATCTAGATCATTTGGTATCTCTGGGTCTCTTTTTCTTCATCCCAGGGATGGGCAAAACAGGGAGGGTTGGAAAGCAGGGCACTGACTCAAGGGAGAAAAACTAGAATTTGGTACAATCTCTTCCTTCCTCCAACATTCTGGAGACAGGCAACATGTATTCTACATGTGAAACAGAAAAGGTATAGAGAGATCAATCTTTTGAGAGTAGTGTTAGGAACAGAATCTAGGAATCCTAATATCTCAGCCTAGATGTCTCTTTAAGAACCCGTCTCCACATGGCCCGAATGTTTTGTTTAACCTTCCTCTGCCTCTGAGTGGTTCAAAGCGTATAATAAAGTTGTAATCCAATCTATGCTTGCCTTACCGCATTTTTCTCCAGGAAAATATTCCAGATGTCTTTTCCCAAGCTTCGGGAATCCTTGGGGTTTGTCTGTTGATGAACTTCTGCACACAGGTAAAACAACTAGGAGAAGAGATAAACTAGGGTAGGGCAGTGGTTCTCCAGAGGTAACTTTACCTCCTAGGGGACATGTGGCAATACCTGAAGACATTTTTAGTTGCCACAACTACTGGGTGAGTAGAATGCTACAGCTAAAAGTTCCAATGCACAGGACACTCTATCACAACAAAGAATTTTCCAGTTCAAAATATCTTTAGTGCTGAGGTTGAGAAATCCAAGGTTAGAACGTCTCAGAAACCTGTTGTAAAACAATCCCACCCCTTCCCCAGGCACACATCCTAAGAGCTACTTTTCAACTCTGTATCCTCTCCACACTGATATTTTACTTGTGTCTTGTACTTATTTATATATTGTTTCCTAAGGATTCATGTTTTATTTCTCTCTGCAATGTGCCCTGTCTTCGTTCAAGAATGCTTCTAAGACACCAGCACTTGGGACTTACACACAGGTATTCAATTAATACTTGTCAAGCAAATGGATGTTCACTCTGGCTTCTAAGAAACACAAAACAGCAGCAGTCCATGTCTTGGCAGAAGCTTACTCTGAGAAGAACACATCAATCCCTTTCCCCCACACCCTTTCCTGGAGAGGAATAAGATACTGGTGAGGCTGCAGGCCCTGAGCACTGTCCCCAGACACCCCTGGGTTCCATCTTCTCACATGACTTCCTACCATCCCCGTCAAACCCCTGACAACCTTGCCCTCTGCCACATTTTCTTATAGGGCCACTCTCAACTCTCCAGTCTGTATCTATCCTCATTTGAAAAACTCTAGAGAGGCCAGGCTCGGTGGCTCAGCCTGTAATCCCGCGCTTTGGGAGGCTGAGGTGAGTGGATTGCCTGAGCCTGCAGGTTCGAGACCCGCCTGGGCAACCTGGCGAGAGACCTCAACTCGACAATAAATCAAAAAGTTAGCCGGGTGTGGTAGCACATGCCTGTAGTTTCAGCTACTTGGAAGGCTGAGGCGGAAGGATCGCCGGAGCCCAGCAGGTCGAGGTTGCGGTGGCCGGGAGCAGCCACTGCACTCCAGTCTGGGAGACAGAGTGAGACTCCAACTCAAAAAAAAAAAAAAAAAAAAAAGGAAGAAAAACTCTAGAGGGAGTATCTTCTCCTGAACTGATCAAGCATGTCAGTTTTCCTGACATAGCTCTCTTCACTCCTCCCAAGGCTACTGACGTAGTTAGCTGTGTCATACACAGTGAATTCCTGTCGCCTAGGTTTCACATTCTTTCCTATTCTGTCTGTCTCTAAAATGCCCAACTGTGCTCATGGATCTAACTTGTAACAGTTGGACAATAGGAACAGAGTCAAGAGACTTTTTGTCAAGCATCAGCAAGCATTCAATCAAGACTGATGCTTCTGACTTACCAGTGGACTGGGGTCTGCCTGAGAGAAGATGTAACGTAGAAAAACCCCCAGGTGAGCGGGACGCGACTTCAGTTTCTCCAGATCCTGGAATATGATGTCACTCTGGAAGGCAGAAGGGTGAGCGTGGCTGGGAGGCATGGAGGCAGGGCACAGCAGCAGAGCCTGCCCCAGCTCAGCTCCCATGTGACCCATCTGCCAGGTTTATAAGTTGAGGCTCCCTTCCCCAAGTTCCCTTCACAGCAGGTGTTAGTCAAGCTGCTTCTAGTCAAGAGCTGCTTGCATGACAGAGAATGAGGGAAAGAGAAAACCAGGAAACTGTTACCTCGTTGTTGAAATAACCAGGGTCATAATCTTCCTCTGGGCCAATAATTAAAGGCTTTGAGCTTTGATCTGCGCCCTGAGGGAGAGAGTCAAGTAGCAGAGATGAGAGGTTGTAGAGGACAGGGGATTCAGCCCACTCAGTGAAGTATGTTTAGTCATAGAAAGACTCTCAAAGCAAGCCACCCAGGTCTCATAAATGTTGGCATCTCACTGTACCCCCAAATCTCAGGGCACAGATGAAATGATTTCCACTTGCAGGAAGTCAACTGCTTCTGGGTGGGGCAGAGCAAACTCAGAGCAGTCTGGTCACGTGGCATATGAAGATGGGAATTAAGAGAAAATGCCCTTTGCCTGTTTGCAAAAGATTTGGGGAGGAACTGTCAGTCAACAAAATAAGAACCTACAGCCTCTGCTGGATTGTTAGGTTGGGGGGCTTTGCTATTTTCAACAAAAACAGCTCCCCTACCCCCAACCATATACCCTCCAAATCAAGTGTCTACCATGCTACTGAACAGGTACTGTGTGCTTAGTAAGCACTGGCGGATAATAACCATGGGAGAGCCTAGGAGTTAATCTCTGCCTCCCTGAACTACAGGGGATAGAGCTGATTTTTCTCTAATGCCATTTGTCTTATTCTTTGCCTGCTCAAGAATCTATAGTAGGTCCCCATTATCAGTCAAAAATCCAAATGTCTCAGTCTGGTTTTTCTTTCTTTCCCCCTTATGCCAATTTTAACAAAAATCTAATCCTAACTGATATGTCATTGATTAGGCATGATGAGAAAGACTTAATATTATATAAATGTTTCAGTAGCTCACTGGACAAATTTCTCTCCTAAAAGAACCTTTGTCCCTTGAGTTTTCATTTTTTTTTTTTTTTTTTTTTGAGACGGAGTCTCACTCTGTCGCCCAGACTGGAGTGTAGTGGCCACTGTAGCCTCAACCTGCTGGGCTCGGGCGATCCTTCCGCCTCAGCCTTCCGAGTAGCCAGAATTACAGGCACGCGCTACCACGCCCGGCTGATTTTTTGATTTATTGTAGAGATGAGGTCTTGCCAAGTTGCCTGGGCGGGTCTCGAATTCACGGGCTCAGGCAATTCACTCACCTCAGCCTCCCAAAGCGTGGGATTACAGGCTGAGCCACCGAACCCGGCAGTCCCTTGAGTTTTCAAAGTTTTTCTATCAACTTTATTTTTCACTCAATTTAATCTTCTTCATTTCCAGTGATTCCCCATCAAGGACTGCTTCTGGAACCCACCCCGCTTACTCATGCTTACTTTCATCTGGGCCTAAGATACCCTCCTAGCCTACTTTTTAGGGGGGTTTCCTGACAGTTCCTCTTTGATGCTCCTCACTCGGTTTCCCTTCTCCTGGATATATCTATAGGCTCTATGCCCAGAAAGACTGAGTCACAGAACCAGAGACCTGGAGGGTATCTTGGAGATTAGAATCTAATGCTCATTTATAATTGAAAAAAGGGAGGCCCAGAGAGACTGAGTGGCGTGCTCAAAGTTGCAGAGTCAGGTCTGGAGTACTGTGTCTGTATTTCTCAGATACATCCAGGGTACCCTCCTCTCCCATAGCACCTAAGTCTCTAAACTGCTTGAGGTTCAGGATCTCTAGGAGGTGTGGACAAGTACTTCTGGCTCTACTTGGCTCTCTGATAAAAACTAAAAAGCACTAGGATTTTGCTTGTTTGGGGGAAGGATTTTTTAAAGACTTTACAAATACACATGCTTTCTGATTACAAAAGCAGAATATGACTATTAAAAAATCAAACACTATAAAATTATGTAACAGAAAGATAAATGCTTCCATCTCCCTGCTGCTGACAGCTTTGTGGAAAGGACAGGTTTTCTCTCTATGCTCTTATTAATATATATTAAGAAACAGGAATCAAACTGTATTTGCTCTTAACATTCAAAACTAGCAACTTAAATAGTTCCCAAACAATGAACAAATTCAGAAGAGGAAAACAAGGTCTCCAGGACCACCTACTCCACCCCTGCTCCTAGGAACCATCTGAAGGAAAACTTCCCCAGAAACAGAAGATGTGCTCTGAACCCCTTGGCGACCTGAACTTGGTCCTCTGGTTCTGAAAAGGAAGGCTGTGGGAGTGGGCAAAGAAAGCACCGCTGAGGAGGAAGGAGCCCTGTGCTGGGGCCAGGAGAACTAAGCACTAGTCTGACCCTGCCAGGAACCTGCAGAGCTCTCGAACAGTTCCCTAGCCTTTTTTGTCCCAGTCTTCTCATTCATCACATGAAGATTCTAACAGCTTCCTCCTTTCCTGACTATGAGAATTAAGTGAGATTTTGTTGTAAAGGATCTAGCACTGCAGCTGGTACATGAGGCATTTTAGTGTACATTAGAGTCATTTCTTCACCTTTCCCCTCCAAGTAAAACTAAATGCTATCTGATGAGCACTCCATGTATTCTTCCTTTGCATAGTGACTCTTTATTAGAATTTTCTTTTGATGATTACATAACGCTAGATTTAAGAAAAATAGGATTCACTTGAGACCACAGTCCTCTGTCTATAGATCATACTGTGAAACCTCAGTTTTGAGAATTTCAGGAAACTCTGTGTCCTGGATAATGCTTGGAAGACAATTTTGAGTAGTCCCATTCCAAAGTACTAAGTCATTCATTTATTCATTCACTAAACATTATTAAGTACCTATCATATGCCAGACACATACAGTGATAAAACATACAAAGATGTGTTAACCTAGCTCTAGCAGGGAAATTAGATCTGTAAACAAATAACAGAAGGAGAAATGCTGTCATAGAAAAAAGATGCTGCCTGGAATCCTAAACTCCAAAGAGGACAAATTTACTAAAATCACACTATCACCAAAGGGAACTCAGCCAGATAGATGTATGTGTGTCTGGAAGAACCAGGTAAGGGTTGGGGGAGGCAGAGACAGGAAGGAGGGCAGGCAGGACATTAGAACACCACTGTCCGGGGTTTACTCACTGAACTTGGGAGGGAATCCCTCTGTGTCAAAAGCCTTTGTGAAGAGGGACCAGAGGGGCGACCTCAAATCCACATACTTCTTCAAGATACCTGCCTAATAGATTCGTTGTGGGAGAAAATAAGGGCCACTTTTGTTCAGAGGGAGAAGGAGAAGATGAAAAGTAGATCTAGATTCCATGGACCACTAGGAGCTAGATTTAACTAAACTGCTGATTAACCAACTTATTTTAGTGGTTCATATTTGGCTAAACATTAGAATTATCATTTGCTCTGCTTTCTTCCTGATACCATCTCTCTCTTCCTATCCAAAATTCCTTTAGAGACCCCATCTTCTGAAGACCTGCCTGGGCAACTTGGTGAGACCTCATCTCTACAATAAGTAAAAAATTAGCCGGGCATGGTAGCGCACGCCTGTAGTTCCAGCTACTTGGAAGGCTGAGGTGGAAGGATTGCTGGAACCCAGCAGGTCGAGGCTGCGGTGGCCGGGAGCATGCCACTGTACTCCAGTCTGGGCGACAGAGTGAGACTCCAACTCAAAAAAAAAAAGTGAGTTAGCCTAAAGAAAAATATTAAGTAACATTATACAGGTGGAATGTGGATACAGAAAAAGCCGTTATGGTGGTAAGGACTGAATTTTAAGAAATATTGTTTTACAAAACAAGGTGATCTCTTCCCAGTTTCTCTAACAGGTGAACTACAGGAAAGTTCCTAAGTCAGCCCATTCCACTGCCAGGCAGCTTTCTGCATGAGCTTTTTGTATGTGCCAGATCCAGTCTCCCTGAAACCCCTCCTGGAGTTAGCTCTTACCCTTGAAAGCAGGGGCTTTCAAATCAGGTTTTGCAGAGCCTTAGGCTACCATGGAAGTACCCATGAGAGAAATGGGAGCCTGATCAGAAAAGACCCCAGGGGAGCTGAGTTTTTTCTTTTTCCTATATTAGGGATCCAAATAGTAAATTTTTGTTTCAGAAAAGGATTTTGCTAAGGAAAACTGAAAATCAGTATTCTGGAGGGACACTGAATAAACCTATTTCCTATTCCATGCAGAAATTACAAGAAAGACCGCTATCCGCTCTCAGTTATCACTTCCCCAGACGCACTCACTGACTCTTCACATAGAAATTGACAGCCTGACTTTCCTATTTCTATTTATACCAAGTTCTTCTCTACTGTTTGGATTCTTAAGACAGTGACCACCTCAAAGTGAGGATTCCTGAAGCAGGAATTTAGTCTGATTATCCAAGACCATGTACTGGCAACACCTGTTCGCTCACCTGGTCGCTGGTTGGGGGGACTGGGGCATCCGAGCCCTGCCGCCTATGGTGCTGAGCCACCCTGGTCATGATCACGGGGGACGTTCGAGGACTGTCTAGTCCAGGATCTGACAGTACGGAGTTCCGATTCATCAATGACTAGAGGAACAGAGAACTCTGTGAGAAGGAACCTCATCCAGTACTCTTAGGCACGGCTCACTTGGTAGTGATAATCATACTTACAACATCACCTAAAAGAAATTGAGTATCTGCTCTGTGCCTGGCATTCTACTCAGTCCTTAATTACATATTATTTCATTTAATTTCCACAACAGCCCTTTAAGTAGATACAAGTATTCCTCCAACTTTTACAGGAAGAAACTAAGACTTCAGGAGAGTGTGAGACTCGCTGAAGGTCAAAGAGCTAGTCACGAGGTATTCCTTGGATTCAATCCAGGCACACTGCACCCATGGCACACATACTTCCTCCCCACCATGCTGTTTCCCTGACAACATCAACTGTGGATTCTGCAGGGTCTCCCTCCAGCTCTACTTTCTTGGTAACTTTCCTCCATACTAATCCTGTCACATGTATTTCATCATCTTCCCACAGACAAGAGTGATAAGGAAATAAAATTCCAATTATATTATCAAAAATTAGGTTAACATGTTTGCAACCACCCAACATATATATATATATATATATATATGTATATATATATATATATATATATATATTATTGA